GCTGCCATCAGTCTCTACTTGGACATTATCAACCTGTTCCTGCACCTGCTGCGGTTTCTGGAAGCAGTTAGTAAAAAGTAACTGAACGGTAGACAAAGACTGCTTTATGATGGAAAAAGTTTGAATTACACTTAAATATTAAAATCATTTGTCATCTTTCTCGGCATTCTGTGTTCTTCTCCACTTTAGAATCTTACTATTCTCTGTGTTATTTCCAGATTCTTCACAAGATATTAAAATTGCTTTATACTTTTTTTGTAAATTAAGGCAGGGTCTCACTGTGTAGTCCAATGTGGCTTCTAACTCATGATCTTGCTATGTCAGCTTCCTACTTTCTGGGAATACGGGCATATATCACCATGCCTGGCTTCTTTATTAAATTTTTAGACCTAAATTAGCCATACCTAGCAGTTCATCTATAATTCAAAATAATAAATAAATTTAGCATTTCTTTTAATAAGTGTTTGGCATGCACGTGTGTATGTGCACTTTGTGCATGTCTGGTGTTAGCAGAGGCCAGCAGCAGGTGCTGTGTCACTCGGCACTGGAGTTACAGGTGGTTGTGATGTGAAAACTGCCCTGCTGTTCATCTCTTAAAAAGCCTCGCTTAGAGCTGGAGAGAGGGCTCAGCGGTTAGGAGCACTGACTGCTCTTCCGGAGGAACCGGGTTCAATTCCCAACACCCACATGGCAGCTCACAACTGTCTGAAAATGCAGTTCCATGAGATCTGACACCTTCACACCAATGCACATAAAATAAATAAATCATTAAAAAATGCCTTGTTTATAAATGGAAAATCACTGGTGGAAAATCTACTTGAGAAGTGAATGGTGTTTGTCTTAATGGCAGCACATTTTGTCTGGTTAGGCCTTTTTATTTTTATTTTTTACTGTTGGAGTGGTATTCGCATCACTGTATGTGTCCTATGCCAAGCAATGAGAGCTTCCAGAGGAAATATACACAAAGAATGGGACGTGTCCAACTTAATTGTTTTTTATATCACGTACAGGTAAGCATGTATGCACAAGGGCGTAGAACTAGTAGGTGTAGAGAAACGGCAACTCATGGGACAGAGGAAGGAAGAGGGGAAGACAGAGGGATCAGAGCGCGTTTGATGGGTGAAATCTTGTGGACAAAGAGGTGCAGTGTGGCTGGGCGGTGCACGGCTTTAACCCCAGGACTGGGGGTGGGGCAGAGGGAAGTAGATCTCCGAGTTCGAGGCTAGCTTGGTCTACAAAGTGGGTTCCAGGACAGCCAGAACTGTTATACAAAGAAACCCCATCTCTGAAAAGCAGAGTTTTCGGCAGAACTGAGACCTGGCTTCAGTTCACTTGATGTAGTTTCTGTGGGTTGGTGTCGGCAGGAAGCTTCAGTCAGGCCTCAGCTCTCATCTCTGTAGTGCACAGTCTTGATAGCTCAGCCATCCTGGGAACCGGAAGTCACCGTCTAAATTGCAGAACTCTTTCTGTTCTTGGGGACTCAGGAATCCCATGGAAAGACCTGGCTGTTGGAGCCCCTCTTTCTGCCAAGTTCAGTTGTGTCACACGCCTTTCGGAAGACAGACCAGTTGTTTTCCTGTCAAGCACTCAGCAGTACTGGTTGTGCATGTAGTTCCAAAAGCCTGTTCAGCTCTTCTGATTTTCTGTGTGTGTGTGTGTGTGTGTGCATGTTTGTATGCAGGCGAATGTGTGTAGGTGCCACTCCATGTCATTGCTGTACAAAGGCGAATGTGTGTGTAGGTGCCACTCCATGTCATTGCTGTACAAAGGCGAATGTGTGTGTAGGTGCCACTCCATGTCATTGCTGTACAAAGGCGAATGTGTGTGTAGGTGCCACTCCATGTCATTGCTGTATACAGGCAAATGTGTGTGTAGGTGCCACTCCATGTCATTGCTGTATACAGGCAAATGTCATTCCATGTCATTCCTCAGGTGACACCCACCTTTTTTCTTTCTAGACAGTGTCTTTTGCTGGCTGGAGTTTGTCTAATAGGCTGACTGTGAGGCCCAAGGATCCCCAGTGTCTGTCTGCCTAGTGCTGGTCATTTCTTTAATGTGGGTTCTAAGGATTAAGATCAGATCCTCTTGGGTCTGACCTCTCTTGAGCCCCACTCTTCCACCTTTCTGAAAGGACCCGTTCTAGAGTTCATGCATGCATGTTGGAATCAAGGAAGGAATTAGCGATACTAAAACAGAACAAAAGTCAACAACAAAAAGCTCCATGCCATTTCACCTCTAGAACTTTCAATTATTTAGTTCCCAATTCAGTTTTTTTAAATTATTTATTATGTAAATAGTATTCTGGGATGTATGCCTACGTGCCAGAACAGGGCACCAAATCTCACTATAAACGGTTGTGAGCTACCATGTGATTGCTAGGAAGTAAACTTTGGATCTCTGGAAGAGCAGCCAGTGATCTTAACCTCTGAGCCATCTCCCCAGCCCCCTCAATTCAATTTTTAAAGGGACGTTGTAATACTGAATTGTGGAATGTATTTTAATACCACGATAGGTTGTTTTTGAGAGTTCTAAACTTCCGTTTTACAAGCTGGGTCTTAGTTTCAGTGTCTTAAGCAAAGGCCTATTAATCGATAACATTCCTGATAACAAGGACTAGGGAGGGAGCACTATAAGGCCTGAGTCAGCCCCACAACATATCCAAGCAATGACCAAAAAAGGATAGTTCCTGTAACCCCCTCCCCAAACAGGCCCAGACTTGCCCAAGTATGCCCAAATATGGAAAAACAAAAATTAGAAATGTATTAACGTAACTGCTGCTTGTTTGAGCAATCGTGTTAGAAATGCCATAGTTGGGCTGGAGAGATGGCTCAGCGGTTAAGAGCACTGACTGCTCTTCCAGAGGTCCTGAGTTCAATTCCCAGCAACCACGTGGTGGCTCACAACCATGTGTAATGAGATCTAGTGCCCTCTTCTGGACTACAGGCAGGATACTGTATAAATAAATAAATAAATCTTAAAAAAAAAAAAGAGGACACAAAGAGTGCAAGAAAGAAAGAAAGAAAGAAAGAAAGAAAGAAAGAAAGAAAGAAAGAAAGAAAGAAAGAAAGAAAGAGGACATAGTTGTTCCTGGAATTTACCGAGCTGTGCTGAAAAGGACCTGCAGGCCTTTGTCCTGGGTCACCATTTTGTACAGATGGTGATCCCCACAAGCTGGTAAATACTCTTTGCTTTTAAAGCCTATTTGAGTCTGGGTCTTCAGCATTTTCTCAGACCCCTACATTTTCTTTTGCCAAGTTGCTGTTCAAAAGTCACAGCCTTTGGGTACATGAAACAAGAAGCTGTCAACTTAGACCATCTTGAAGGGGGCGTTTAAAGTCCAGTGTGCACTTGCTTCCTTTGGTTTTTAAGGTCACGTGTGTTTTGCCTGTGGTTAAAAAAAAAAATTCAAAAATTGCTGTACTATGCAGGGTTTCTACAAAAAGGCACAGTTCTACTAGCAACCAAACAGGAATTTCATGGGCTATCATTAAATAAAACTTTTGGGGCTGGAGGCATGGTTCTATCGTTAAGAGTACCTGCTGCTCTTGCAGAAGACCTAGGTTCGATTCCCAGCATCCACGTGGTGGCTCACATGGTAACTGTTGTTCCTTTTGGAAACTACAGCTCCCAGATTCCTCCTGGATTACGGATACCTGGCTCAGGTGCAGGACATTTCTCCCAGACACACTTGCGTTCCCCGTTAAAAAGCGAGCTCCCACGAGCTCTCTCCCTCTCCCTCTCCCTCTCCCTCTCCCTCTCCCTCTCCCTCTCCCTCTCCCCTCAGCCTCTTGTGTCTTGCACACCTGTCCCTTATTGTGCTACCCCTCCCCCATTAAAGCGTACCCACTTGGGAGCCGCGTGTCTGTGTCTCCTCCTTAACCCTGTTTCGCCATGTGTGTTTTGTCTGTTCCATGTTTGTCTCTACTCACACACACCCGCTTTAAAAGAATAATAGTAACTGCAGTTGGAGGGGATGAGATAGACTCTTCCGGCCTCCCCTAACACCAGACACACATATGGCACACACACATATTGTGGTGGTTTGAAAGAAAATGGCCCTCAAAAGAAGTGGCACTATTAGGAAGTATGGGCTTGTTGGAGGAAGTGTGTCACTGTGGGGGCGGGCTTCGAGGTCTCTTTTTTCTCTAGCTTCAGTCCGTGTGTCTTCCCAGTCTGCAAGATGTAGCAGTCTCAGCTCCAGCACCACATCTGCCTGCACGCCACCATGTTCCCGATCATGATGATAACGGACTGAACTTATGAAACTGTAAGCAAGCCACCCCAACTACATGTTTTCTTTGTAAGAGTTGTCGTGGTCATGGTGTTTCTTGACAGCAGTAGTAAATCCTAAGACCATTTCTGTCAGACAAAACGCTCACACACCATCAAAATAAATCCTGAAAGATATATGCTGTAATCTGTATAAAACCCTGTTTACAGATAGTACTGAGTACTTAACTGTTGCCTAATCACCTACTGAAGATCAGTGAATGAGGTACTACCTAGGCCACTGCTCACTCGTATCTGTCACAAATGCTAAGAGACCTGTGTATCCCCAATAGCCCGGGCAAAACTATCCTAACTTTTGCCTTGGGTATGGACCGGTTCTGACAAATCAGCATTGGTTGAAACAGATCATGTTACCTTTTACGTTCTTCGGGATGGAGAAGGATTATTTTCTGCTTTGGCTGACAGCTTTGAAATATAATTGGCATGTATTTAAATTGTACACTCTAATATATTCCCACATACGCGTACATACTGGGATCCTCAACGGAATGAGAAATTTTCTAGGCTGCAAATAAAAACCTCACTAAGGGTTCTAGGGTGGTAAGCTCTGAACAATCCCGCGGGTACCCTGTATCCGCGAGGTTGTCACAGGCAGGGCCCCCGGCCGGGATTGGCCTATCTGAGGCCTTCAGAATGGCTTGATTTATAATTTGTCACTCCCGACAGGAAATTCCTTCTGCTTTCTCCAAACACAGCGTGTTCTTCAACTGGAGACCCACAGACTCTCAAGGTGGGTCCACGCCGGGCTTCCAAACGCCACGCCTCTCAGGATTCCCGGCACGCCGCGCGCCGGCCTTGACCGGAAGGCGGAAGTACGGGGACTTCCGGCTGGCGTCCCACGCGTGCAGTGCGGTCGTGTTTCTCAGGTGAGTCGCGTGGGCTCCGGGCTTAGTTCTGTGGCGTGGAGAGCAGGCCTCAGATCGTCCCTCCGCCGCGGCCCTGGCGTCGGTCTGGCGGTGCGGGGCTCGGGAGGGCGAGGTCCGGGATCGTGATGGCGGCGCCGCTCTCCCCCGGGCTGTGGCTAGCGGCGCCCAGGCCGAGGTCGGCCGGCAGCGTGGGTCACCGCGACCCTCCACGGGGAGTGTGGGTCCTTAGACGATTGTTGGCGTCCAGAGGATGCTCACCTCGCGTCCCCCAGCGCACAACCTGCGCTCTCGAGGGCTCCAGCGGCGAATGAGAGCAGCTGAAGGAGCTTCGGGGCGAGACTGTGCTGAGCAGGGGCGGGGGACGGAAGAGTCTGAGGTGCCGAACAGAGAAGCCTCGGGGAGAGCAGTTTCCAGGCAGCGAACAGTGAATGATGGACCTGAAGTGCGGGCTTTTCCGCCGGTGCCAATGAAGCTTGCGGGTGGGAGTGAGAGGAGAGTTGAAAGAGGCTCGGGAGTAGCTGCATGCAACTTTGATACCAGAAGACACGAGGGAAAGTCATTCAAGAAGCCTTTAAAAAGCTGGGCTGTGGTGGCGCACGCCTTTAACCCCAGCACTCGGGAGACAGAGGCAGGCGGATCTCTGGGAGTTGGAGGCCAGCCTGGTCCTCAGAGTGAGTTCCAGGACATCCAGGACTACACAGAGAAAGTCTCAAACAATAACTGCAAAAAAGAATAATTTAAAAGGCAGAGAGCTATGCTCTGAGCTTTAAAAAAGTCCACTTTGTGAAGGATTTAGGGCTGAGAGGTGGAACAAGGCAGGAGAGCAATAGGTAATTTGAAGGCGGTTTATTAACTTGGTGTCTACGAAGGAGCTGTGAGAATGGATTGGTTTATAATTTTTCACTGGCCTCTGGGGGCTTGACCTTATATTTAAGCAGTGTCTGCTCTTTGTTGAGCCTCACGTAAGCTAAGCATGAAGACGGCGTAGATTGCCTCCATTCATCCCAGTACTGAAGACGTCTGCCCGGCCATTTTCTCGGTGGTAAACTTTCTTCTTGTGTTTGTGTTGCCCACCAGGTGAAGCATGGCTAAGAGCTTACGGAGTAAGTGGAAAAGGAAGATGCGTGCCGAGAAGAGAAAGAAGAATGCTCCAAGGGAGCTCAACAGACTGAAAAGTATTCTCAGAATTGACGGGGATGCTTTAATGAAAGATGTTGAAGAAATAGCGACTGTGGTGGTACCCAAACAGTGCCAGGAGAAAATGCAGTGTGCGGTGGAGGGTGAAATGGGTGAGCTCGTGTGCTCTGTTTTCATCATTAGAAAGTGGATCAGCTTGTCCTTACGCCCCTTTATTATTATTATATCCGCTGTCTTCTTTCCATCTCTACTTCTCCCTGGTGTCAGATCCAAAAGAAACTGGGGGCAAGTGGCTGACTGTGGTGCCTGTTAGATAACAACGCACTTGCTGGCATCCTGGCTTCTCAGCTCTTCTCACCCCTTTCTCTTTCCTAAAGCTCTCCACCTCGTGGGCTTCCCTTCCCCAGCTTCTCATTCCTGTAGAGCCCTGCCATTTCAGCCCCCCCCCCTCTGTCTCTGTCTCTGTCTGTCTGTCTGTCTCTCTCTCTCTCTCTCTCTCCCTGTTCTCTTGCTCCTTTCTCCATCTCCTTTGTTCCCCCTCTCTCTCCTCTCATGGCCTGGTTCAGTCTTCTGGCCATGTTTAGTCTACTACTTTCTTTCCCTGCTCTGGATTCTTCCAGATGTCTCTGGCTTTTCTCCCCCTCGTATCTACAATAAAAAAATTTCTTTTCAACCACACTTTGGAGTGGTCATGTCCTCACTTTGTACATCTAACATACCTGTTATGTTCACATTTTTATTCTTTGAAAGCTTTTGTGTCTATTAGAGATTTTGTGCTAAGCTGTTTTTAAGTCAGTGTTTGGGAATAAGCATATCTTGGTTATTTAATGGATCTTCAGCAATTAATGTAGCAGCCTGAATGCCCCGGGAAGTGACAGAAATATAGGAACAAGCTTGGGAGAGGTTGGAAGGTTCAGTCAGGGTCTGGGCAGGTGAAAAGAGGTTTTCACTGTTCCTCACAAGAGCCTGAACCCATTCTGTGGATTCTTCACACTTGTATTGTTACCCTGAAAATCGCAGGCGCCCGCTTTTTGTTGATATATTTTAGAGGCCTCTGTGTTTTTAATCATGGTTTAAATCTGGGGACTAAATATAATGATGGTTTCTACAGAGAAAAGGCTGGCTGCTTTTCAGGTCTTAATGTCCCAGTGTGGCAGCAAGCTAAATGAGGCACTCGCCATAGCCACTCTTAAAGACAGAGGTGTATCTCCGTCTTCAAGGCCAAGGAGAACAATGTTCTTAACACTCCTTACCCTACATATTCGCATCCTGTTCTTCCAGATAAAAAACCCTTCTCTTTGTTCTCTTGCTTTGTCTCTGCTGCCCTTGAGAGAACCTGGTTTAGTTGTTGTGTCCCTTCCATCATGTGTGTGCACCTCTGCTCGTCAGCTCTTTTCATGGTTTTAATTACATGACCGTGACCATTTAATTTGTGTGGTAGTGCATTGAAGTACAATCACGATGTTTACAACCAGCACCTCTGGCTCCAAAACGTTTTCATCCCTCTAAAAAGGAGTGCTGTACCCATTTAGTAGTTTCTCTTTCCCTCCAGCCCCAAGACTGACAGCCACTAATGATTTCCTGTCTGTATAGATTCTTCTTGTTTGAGCTATGGCATGTAAGTGGAACCGTACAGTGTGGGATCTTGTGCCTCGCTTTTCTAACCTAGTATCACATTTTAGTATATACTAGTACTTGTAAAGATGAATACTCGTGTGCTGTATATACCACTTTTTATATACCTGTTAGTTGGCATCTGGGTCACTTTTATGCTAATAAACCTTCATTTCCAATTTTTTTAATGCTGTTTTCAGTGCTTTGGAATATGAACGTACAAATAGAATGCTGGCTCATGTTAATTCTTTGCTATTTTCTGCACCAGCCAAACAATCTTCTTCAACTCTGGGCATCAGGTGCCATGCGCTCTTGACTCCTGGGGTGATCCTTGTCTCTTCTGTCCTTTGTGTGCATTCTCTATTCCCTGCATTTAATCTTGTGGGATCTTAGTATACTGTACACTTTTCTTCTTCCAAAAGTGTTTTATTTTTTATTTTGACTTATTTTTTATAGCTTTCTGCTCTTACTGGGGATATATTTATCTCATTGGGGGTATTGTTTGCTCCTGAATTTGAACGGCAATTTGAGCATTGTTTATTTCTTTAGAGTCCCTTGCTTCCACCCTTGTTTCCCGTCTAACACTCTTCACATGCTTGGGGGGTTGTTGATATTTCAGTGAGGCACTGACAAGATTAGGAGCCCAGGCAGTGTAGAGAAGAAGTCTCTCATTTTCTTCCTGGAGAATGTGTTGATGCACTCATTTTTGTAATATTTCAGAAGCTAAGTAGGAATAGAAGTGAAGGTGGGGGAGTCTTTCTGTTTAGTTATAGACCTGTCAGTAAAGCTGGATGCATCTACCCTCACGTACATGTTTCCCTTCATGTCCTCTTGCAGCTGCCTACCCAGTTTCTTAGACTCTTTTATCCCCTGTGTCTAAGCCAAAGCATTTCTTGTTATACCAGAACTGCATGGCCACAGTGCTTGCCCATCCTTGATACTAGCCTTTTTACTTTCCTCTCTCCTCTTCCTCCTCTCTTATTTCTATATGTCAACATTTTTTTTGTATCTTTTAAAAATACAAATCAGATTCGGTCACTTGCTTACTTAAAATATAACTTCCAGGACTGAAGAGATGGCTCAGCACTTAAGAGTTCTTGCAGAGTTCATTCCCTAGCACCTACTTTAGGGGTTCACAATTGACTGTGACTTTTGCTCCAGGGGACCCGACAGCACAGTCTTCTTTCTTCCCTGGGCACCGCGCATATGTGCACGCTCAGGTGGACTCAGGAACGTGCAGCAGCAGTGTTGATCCTGTCTGACTTGCTGCGAGGAGCCCAGGAAGGCTGTAACAGAGTGTCTCCTGATTTCAAACTTCCTGTCATTCGAATGTTCATGCTGCATTCGTGGGCTTTCATGGGGTTGTTTGGATGTATGAATGCTAATAGCTTTTCACTTTATTGTTGTTTTTAATTTAGATGACACGAAAATGGAGACTGAAATTAAGAGAAACAGAAAGACTCTTCTAGACGAACATGGACAGTACCCAATATGGATGAACCAGAGGCAGAGAAAAAGACTGAAGGCAAAGAGAGAGAAAAAACGGGGGAAAAGCAGAGCCAAGGCAGCCAAGGGCCTGGCCTGGTAGACCTTACAAACTGGAAAGAAGGCGCCTTTAATCCCAGTACTATGGAGGCAGAGGCAGGTGGATCTCTGAGTTCAAGGCCAGCCTGGTCTAAAAAGCAGATGCCAGGACTGCTAATGTGGAGAAACCCTGTCTTAAAATCCACAACAAACAAACAAACAAACTGGGAAGTATTGATGGAACAGAAGTTGAGTTGTTAGGACTGTCTTCACTGGTTTCAGCTCTTTGATGGAAGCTCTTTGTTTTCCTACTTCAGTTTCATCTTACACCTGCAATTCAAAACAATAATTCATTTGTTTTGGGAATTTGAATAAACTATTTTCTGTGATAAAAGAAAATTGGAAGCTGCCTGATGTTTGAGTATTATCAGACACCACAATCTTGTGAGCATTGCTGTGGTTAAAATTATTTGATCTTACAAAATTGCAATTATCATCAATGCCTCAGATTAAACATGCTCATACGAACAAAATTTGGGCAGAAATATTTTAAAATAGCGTCTCAAGGGGCTCAGCAGTTAAGACCACACACTGCTCTTGCAGAGGACTCCTTCATGTTGAATGGCTCAAAACCACTCAGAACCAGTTCCACAGGGTTCCCCTCTTCTGCCCTCCACGGGCACCTGCCCTCATGCACAAGCTTCCCACACAATCTAACTTTAAAAAGTCTTGAGAAAAAGGATGGCAGTGGATTGTTTGTTTTTTCTATAATTCGTAATAAAAGATATTGTATGTGTAGATCTTAGAGTTTGACATTTTCTTTAGGGTTTCCAGCTACTGAGAAGACCATGTCTCTCATTTAGGTGGACTGTACCATGTACTACACGTTGATGTGCTTTCTAAGTTAAGGCAGCATGGGGTTAGGGGGACTGTACCATGTACTGAGTGGTCTGCTTTCTAGGTGATTAAAGCAGCATGGGTTTTTTCTGAAAAATGTTCTTCAGGTTTTGCTTTTTTCTTCTTTTGGTATTTTGAGATGGGGTAGCCTAGAACCAGCTCTGTAAACCAGGCTGGCCTTGAACTCAAACCTGCCTCTGCCTCCCTCTGCTTCCACAGTGCTGGGATAAAAGGTGTGTGCCACTGCTACCAGGCAGTGTAGTTTAGTGTTACATCATGTAGCTTAAGATAATAAAGTGTGTTATTCAGAATCAATTACTCTGGATGTTTCGAGTGTGTGAGTGAGTGAGTGTGTGTGTGCATGTCACCTACACGTCCATCCGCTTGGGAGATGGCTTATATGTAAACACGGGTGTTAACTAGCTTAGTGTTAGTGTTGTGGAATGAAGAGAGCTGGCATTAGCATGACTACCCTCTTTCTGTACCAGTGAGATGAGTTTTGGTTGAGTCTGTCTCAGCATACTATGTTAATTTCAGTCATTTAAGTTTGTTCTAAATTTAGCCCTCCACCTGAAATTTCACTCTTCAGATTCACCGCATTATGTGCTGAATAAAACCAGGAACTTTGCCAATATTAGGAATGCTGAGAGCCGTCCACCTGCTCAGGAAAAGACTTAACTTCACATGGAAAGAAAGAAAGGAAAGGAAAGGAAAGGAAAGGAAAGGAAAGGAAGGAAGGAAGGAAGAGAATATGATTGCTTGGCTCAGAAACCATCAACTGCCAAGCACACTGCTGAGCATGAATATGACCAAGTGCTACCAAGTAAGCCACAAAATAACGCTGGGTGCTTAAAATTAGTATAGCAGGTCCTCCGTTTACTCAGTAGTTCATCAGAAGGTTAGTGGATAATTTCGAAATAAAATACATTTTTCTGAAGGTGGCAAGAAAAGGCTAGGGCTGTAGCTCGGTAATAAAGCACTCATCTCCAGCATCCACAAACTGGGTTTGGGCCCAGTATTGACGGTGAAAAGAGGGTTGGAAGGTGGGCCGTGTTCAAGGTCTTCGTTCCTGTTGGGAGCTGTTCGGAGCTGTGAGGGGAGAATAGATACAGAAGTGAGGGATAAAATGCTGCAGACGTTAAGGCCACCGACACTAGAGTTCCCTCTCATCATGGGCGCTGTCCATGTCCATGCCGCACCCTTAGTTGTCATTCAGTTTCCGCAGCATCATCGGTTTGCTGGAGTTGAAGACATTGCTGCCAGGTGTCTATACACATTTTCCCTGCAGCTCACAACTCAAATTTGATTCTGCTGAGAAAAGCTTGGAGCTCCCGTCCAGAGCCTGTCCACGATGTGAGGCTGTTCACTACAGTTGGGCACGCCGGTTTTAACTTAAAAGGTAGAGAGACTGGGAGACGGCTCTGTTGGTAAATGCTTACCATAAAGGTATAGGCACCCACGTTTGTGTTCCTAGCACCCACATAAAAAGCCAGGCTCCATAGTGTGTGCCCTCTTCCTGGGGAGACAGAAGAGGATTCCAAGGTGTAAGTAGTCCAAGGTCAGTTACCAGGCAGCTGATCAGAAGGACCGTGACCTGGAGCCACCCATTCTGCAATTGGTGGGCTCAGGTTCAGTGAGAGACTTATCTTTAAAAGAAGTTTCGTGAAAGAGCAGTGGCCGAAAAAATGCCAGTTGAGCCCCCCCCCCCAGCCTCAGTTTACCAAAAATGCTTGGAAGTCATTTCAAGTAGGTCATGACCTCATGGCTTTTGGATAGGTGACCGCTGTAGAGAGATCATTCATTACCTTCCCCCATTGTGAATGGGCCTGAGCCCCCGAGTTCTGGACTGTGTTGCGTCCATTTCAGATTTTGGTGAGAAATCTAGAATGGAATTCCAAAATCAATTCAGGAATGTGATCAGTTCTTTGTCACTTTATTTCTCAAGGCAAATAGAGAAGCACAGTGTAGTACTTTAATCTTTCGTGTAAATAACTTTGTACAAATTTGTCTTTGATGCTTTCAGGAGAATTGCTGGAATACCACCAGGGGGCGCTCAAGACAAGCGGCAAATCACTTGAATTAGCCTGAGGCTTGAGAAACAGAAGGGTACTATTTTTGTGCTCTTTAAGAGATTAAATATACACAGGGCTAATAAAATATACATTTTATTATTAATTATTAATATTAAATAATATTATTTAATATTATTAGCTCATCTAATTCAGAACCTATGACTCTGCTGCTAATATCTGTACTCGAGGAAACTGAGATACAGAGGTCATGTAGCTAAAACCAGGACAGTTGTTCCAAAGAATGCACTTCACAGTGATTCTTGCCCAAAAACTTTCTCCAAGAGAAACGGCGACCTTAGTACGGAAGGCTTGTAACTTGGTTTAATTCGTGGTGGGATTGGGTTGAAGCAAGCTTAGATAAAGAACATGCTTGAGTAACCAAATGATTTATAGAGCCCTTCTCAAACCTCTGGGTGGAAGCTGGACAGGATTTCTTTAAGGAAATGTGCCTACTGGTCCAATGCAGGTGTCAGCAAAGCTTGTTAGTGACCAGACAGCTAAGCAGACGCCGCTTGACTGGCCACTGAAGCTCTCAGGGAGAATCCAGTAGGGCTTTTGTTAATTTGTTTGTTGTTGAGACAAGGTCTTGTAGCCCTGGTTATTCTGGTAATCATAGATCAAGCTGGCCTCAAGCTTGCAGTAGTGCCTCAGCCTCCGGAGTCCTGAAATCACAGGCATATACCACCATGACGGAAAACTGGCTGTTTTGTTAGACTGCTGCCACATGACGTGAATGCAGATATACGTTAGTCCCTGTTAGCGCACATAGTACTTCCAATACACAGAGACTGTAAAGACACTGACTGTCAGCCAGGTGGTGGTGGCATAGGCCTTTAATCGCAGCACTCAGGAGGCCGAGGCAAGCAGATCTCTGAGTTCAAGGCCAGCCTGGGTTACAGAGCAAGTTCCAGGACAGCCAGGACTGCACAGAGAAACCCTGTCTTGAAAAACAAACAAAAGTAAAAACTGAGTGTCTTCAGAATTTATATCCACGTGTTTAGCGATAAGAGCGGCGGGGCTGCGTCCCCAGCACCCGGCCGCCCGCGTGGCTAGGTTATGCCCGAAATACTTACACAGAAACTGTATTCTTTTAAACATTAATTCCAGCCTCTTATTGGCTAGCTCTTACATATTGTTCTAACCCATTTCTAATATTCTATGTAGCCCACGAGGTGGCTTACCAGAGAGGATCTTAACCTGCATCTGTCTGGAGTGGGAGAATCATGGCAACTCCCTGACTCAGCTTCTTTCTCCCAGCATCCTGTTCTGTTTACTCCACCCACCTAAGGGTGGGCCTATCAAATGGGCTAAGGCAGTTTTTTTATTAATAAGAAATCACTCCCACATCACACATGAGATATGAATTTTAGGAGCTGGTAAGGAGAAAGTTGTTATCTATAAATGATTAGATTCAACTACTTGAAAGTCCTGGAGGAGAGAGCAGAGGATGATAGGCGGCTTAGAGTTGGGAAACACTCGGACAGAAAGAACATCCAGAAATCCGAAGACCTCAAGAACTGCCAAATGGAGGCCGTCCCCAGCTATAATGCAGATATTAGGCTGTTGACTAATCTTACTAGGGAAGGACAATCAGCAGAGTGATTCAAACTTGTGCTAGCCACACATATTTTTTTCCTGTATTTTCCAGCATGTAAAATCCTCATTGCAGCAGACACGCACCACTCTTATAAGAATATGTTTGCAGATGGCAGGGGACTTTCAGGTACTTACATGACATCAAAAACCACCCTGCATCCCCAGGACCCTGTAGGGCTCACAGAGGTCAGGTCAGGTTTGGTTCTGTTTATAAAAGGAACCATATGATTTACATCATTCGGGAAGGGAGATGGCTCCACGGGTAAGAACATTTGCTGTGAAACTTGAAGATCTGAGTTCAAATCCTCGGCACCTGGGTAAAAAGCCAGGGATGGTCTCGTGCTGTTGATCCCAGTAGGGTGGTTGCTGGGGCTTGCTGGCTGCCAGCCTAGCTCCATGTTCAATGGCAGGCCCATCCCAAGGAAGTGAGATAGAGGATGATAAAACAAGATACCCAGTGTCCTCTGCTGGCCTCTGCTCATGCACACGACACAGACACACACACACATGCATGCGCGTGTGCACACTTTGTACATAGCTGATTTGGTTTTGCACTTCTTTTAAAGCAGAGGAAACTACGGTGTGATAGCAAATACGGCTCAGCTGATAGGATCATAGTGAAAACAAAACTTTTAAAGAATGTGTATCCTGCTACATGCAACTGTGAAACAATGCGGAGAAGTTAATACTTTTGTTCCTCTTCAAATGAGCGGTTTGGAGAGGAAATGTCCAAAGTCACGCAAGAGCGGGTTCAAGCACAATGCTGTCCTCAGTAGTAGAGAATCTAGAATGGAAAATTATAGAGACAGACTGGTCCCATCTCCAGAGAAGCCTGTATCTAGGATGCCTGGCATGGAATGGCCAGCTGAGGCTGGGTGGCTGTTTGGCCAGAATGTAGCTGAAGGATTCAAACGCTGGACTTTCAGGTTGAAAGCCATTGTTTTCCAGCCTAGGAATACCATGGGAAAAGCTGTGCTTAGCACATTTTATACTGATTTTGTTCTCTCCCGTCTTTTGGCCTTCCATGATTATAGACTTCAATATCTCTATAGTAAAAAAATAATAATAATAACAAATCTGAAATTTCCTTAATTTCGGTAATGTTAAATCTGGTACTCGTTCAACTAAGCTCCCAATTAAAGTGTGGAAAACACTCTAAACATCTGCTTTAAACAATGGATGGGGTGCAGGCTCTCCAAGATTAACCTGAAGAAGGGCACAGCTTGCTGATATATTAGGCTCGTACATATTGGCTTCTCCTAAAGCAATGGATTGACTTGGCATCCTGCTGTCTTATGAAACACTTTCTCAGCCTCATAGTGCGTCTTCAGAGTTTGCAATATCAGCAGAACCTCGAAGTGGTCTTAGTTGGGTGTTGTGTATCACTGTACAGTAACTGCAAGTACATATGGAATCTCTGATCCGCGTAATAAAGTACATTTGTCATGGGTCCTGTGATCTGCATACCTTTGAGCCGTTACTTCATAAATCTGCTCCATCGGAGGATTGCTTTGTACAGCAGTGCTTGAAGCTGCTTTTAATAAACTAATATTTTGTGTCTTTTATATGTAATCAACAGGGAGTATTATAGCCTGTGTCCCTACGGAGAAACTTTCCACTTAACTTCTTTTCTCCTGACAATAATGA